GACATTGGGTAAATCCATATGACTGGATTATCTCATCAAACCGAATATTCCAAGACCTTGAAGCTTGCTTCTGTCCATAAATGGACCGATTAAGCTTACAAACTAAGTGCTCATTCCCTTTTGTAATGAATCCTTCTGGTTGCTGCATATAGATGTCTTTCTGAAGGTTCCCATTGAGGAAAGCCGTCTTAACATCCATATTCCAGACCTCATAATCCATATGAGTGGCTACAGCTAAGAGAATCCGAATGGATTTAAGCATAGCTACTGGCGAAAAAGTTTCATCATAATCGATACCCTCTTTCTGGGTATAACCTTTCGCAACAAGCCTAGCTTTAAGGTTTCCACCATTCCATCCGATCCCCTCTTCCTCTTGTAAACCCACTTGCATCCAATGGGACGTAACCCATTGGGTGGTTCTACAAGATCCCAGACCTGATTGGTGTCCATAGACCCCATCTCAGCTTTCATTGCAACCTTCCAGGAATTTGCATTTCTATCTTGGAGTGCCTCGTCATAAGTTCTTGGATCCGATTCTAGGTCTCTTGGAACTGAGTCCGATGACTCTCCAAGACCTATCCATCGGTCGGGTTGTGTAGAAACCCTCCCACTACGACGAGGTACCATATGTACTGGCACACTATCAGTGTTACGTGTTGCAGTATTATGTGATGTATCTACTTGCGCACTCGGTGGGGAACTATCGATATCTCTCCCTAACTCTTCTAGGACAAGTTTACTACTGGGCTTATGATCTATGATATAGTCTTCTTCCAAGAATCTAGCGTTCGTACTAACGATCACCTTCTGATCCTCAGGACTATAAAATAAATCACCTTTCGTTTCCTTGGAGTAGCCGACAAACAGTCTCACTTCTGAACTTTTCTCCAACTTGCCAGCCTCCTGCACTAAGACATGTGCAGGGCAACCCCAAATTCGAATTTGTGAGAAACTAGGCTTGTGCCCTTTCCACAACTCATAAGGAGTACTGTCTACTGACTTTGAAGGAACAAATTTAGAATGTAACATGTTGTCTCTAACGCAAATTCTAAAACGAATCTGGTAACTTCGAATAACTCATCATCGACCTAACCATTTCCATAAGAGTTCTGTTTCTTCGCTCTGCAACCCCGTTCTGCTGGGGCGTGCTGGGTGCAGTCAGCTGGGATTCAATCCCTGGTATTCGCCTCCTCGATTAGATCGAAGACACTTGATACTTTTACCTTGTTGTTTCTCCACAACTGTCCTATACTCCTTGAATTTCTCAAAGCATTCGGACTTGCGGTGCAACAAGTAAATGTATCCATATCTAGAATAATCATCAATAAAAGTGACAAAATACTCATAGCCTCCTCTAGCTTGGATCGACATAGGACCACACAAATTAGAATGAATCAATCCTAGCACTTCTTGGCTCCTTCGCCCCTTTGCCGAAAACGGCCTCTTGGTCATCTTACCTTCTAGGCAGGACTCGCAAGTGTTGGAACCCACGAGGATCTCGATATGCATAAATCACGGACAAACATTCAACATAAACCTATGCGCAGCGGATCTAAAGGTTTGATGAAGAAAACTTACTGCTTAAAATTTATGTAGATCTGGCTGGCCCGGACAGTTGACCGCAAATCAAATCTTCTCAGAGTCCAACAAACTTGACCAATTCAGAAAGTTGATGTCACGGCGTTGACCGGTCGGAAAACTGAGCTCTCACGCGCTTTCACGCGCGTCTGCAAGATCCAACCGCTGCTTCCTTCCGGCGGCGCGTGGCGGCGCGTGCGGCGGCTTCCGGCGGCGATCTCGACGGC